TGACTATTCATGCCTTTTGACGTCTCTTTCGCTTGAACGTGACTAGGCTATCGTCTGCTATAAAAACCGTATTACCACTTATTGGACCCTAGTTTTTTTTTTAATTATCAGTGGTCAAGGTGGTGTTGGTTACATGTTCGTCAATCACAATAATAAAGACGCGATGCAAAGTTGTTTTTTTATAAGAAATAGAGACAAGCATAGGTTTTCCTTGATGGAAGGTGAAACTTTTCCAGCCATATAACATCTTGATAAGACACGCTGTCCACCTTCTCCTGGTTTGAATATTCGAGAAACCACAGCGTGAAACCAAAACGTACTTGTTTGTATATATTCCGATTAGTGAAGCAGACAGAAATGTGTTCGCCCCATGAGCTATAGGGGAAAAGGAGATTTCACTTCTTAGATGATATCCAGATTGCCTGACGAAGTCCAACATGTTTGAAAAAAAGATATAAATTGATTAAAAACATCTTGGAAAAAGATCTTGTGGGGATCGAACGATTATTAGCCATGCATTGCTACTATTAGACCTCCGAACTCTTCAGAATCAGTTCTTGTATTCTTCACGCAAACGACTTCAAGTAAAAGAGACAACAATAGTGTCTATCAATAATGGGGTGACGCCTGACCTACAGTTTTGGTTTCTAGGAGACCAGAGCCTTATTGCACACGATGAGAGCATTAATTGGTACAACGTGAACCTCTATAGCCACTGTATCCATTGTTTGAAGTAAGTGACACGTTTATTGCGCGTAGCTTTGATTCGAAATAGCAATTACTGTGATGGTGAGGAGTGGGGCGCAGTGACACTGAAAACGTCGACAGGGGGGTATCTATGTGGAGTAGATCAGACGCAGTAATATGACTTTCAAAGTTCGATTGTTCTCTGTATTTGTACTATAGACTGAAATCAAAACGTTGGCAATTTTAGAACTTCCAAACTAACCCTTATATTGTTTGAAGACTTTAATATTTTTCACATGTTATTGCACACGGTAGCTCGATTGGTTAGAGTAACAGCAGATTATTGTAGATGTCGGTTCAAGTCCTGTCTGTGTTGTATTTTTTTTTTATTTAAAATCGATTTTTTTATTCCTTATATTGTTGTCACTACACTCAATGTAGATCATGACAATTTTAATGGTGGATGACGTTGGTTGGCCTGGCCATCTGAAATATTTCGAAAACCAAATTTAATTAACACAGTGGGGGTTCTTATGAGGTAATCTTAAATTACATATTTTTATATTATTTCAAAGAAATAATTCTTTCATTCATGTATTTTGGGCTACCGGAATTGTTGCCGCATCACACGCAACTGAAACCTTCGAAGACAAATGATTTTGTGTTTTTTCCACATTCATTGTTTCTTCGGTCCAAGGTCAAAGCCTGGTATTTTTTAGCCTAATGCCTTCCTTTGCAAATGATCCAACACAATAATTATTTTTGAATTCGATTCAATAGTCCTTGAGATTAGCGCGTTCAAACAAACAAACTCTTTTATAATATTAGTATAGACAAGTCAACTGATACATTTCGCATTTTAAAGCGTGACTAGTATATTCTCCAAAAGTATGTATTCCAAGCAAATGTTGTCTTTGATCTCTAAATCTATGAATAAACAAATTCGTTCTAGCCCAAAATTTCATTGAACGAAGACCTAATTAAATCCGAAACGGCACAATACGCCATACATACGAGGATTTAATAAAAGGTTCGCGATCAAGCCAGCCGTAAAATGAAGTTCCTTCCATAGATTAGTAGAGCTTTTGTCGGAGAGCTAGGAAATCGCTAGGAAATTGCCAGCATTTCAAACTGCTTCCATGATGGCGCAGCTTGGTTATAGAAATTAAATGGATTTACTTAAAATGGTTCAATTATTGTTATGTCAATAACTATTTAGTGTGTAAAGATGTCAGGTTTGTATGGCTAAGCTAAGTTTAGTAGGCGTCTATCTTTTTACAAAGGTAAGAAAATAATCCGATTTTAATGATATTTAGATAACATATTTAGGTTTTGAGATGTGAATCATCGCAACAAAGTATAAAACAAAGTTGCCTTTTTTGTTCATATGTAGGCTTAAATCTTCAAAACTACTCAACTTTGATGTGTTTTTTTTAGTAGGTAGGGTGATTCAAGAGGAAGGTTTTTATATACAACGTTCACAGTTTTTCTGTAGTGTATCTAGTATCAGCATGGCCGCAGAGCGAAGCCAGGGCGGGCCGCTAGTATTTCTAAATAAATCAAATTAAATTTGCATATACTCATTCCTATATAGTAATATTTACTTCCTAAATTCGGGTTTATTACGTGTATATACTTAGTTGAAAAATGGTCTAAATTACTTTTTCATTACAAAAACAAACAAAACAATATTCAATTACACATTACATTAATACATACCGTATACTAAATACTTTCTGTTTACGCGAGTAGTACACATTTAAATAAAACACTTTAACTGTCTCCCCGTGACCACGGCTGCTGCAAAGTACCCGAAACGTCGGGCCGTAGTAAAAATAATTTTAAAACTAGTTTAAGTAACATATCGCGTTTTAAACCGTTAAAATGTTTTATTTAAATACCGTATACTAACTAACATTAACGGGCTCGTGTGTTCGATTCCCATCGGGTCCAACATTTTTCTAATCAAATTGTAATTAAATACTGTCTATAGTTTACGCGAGTAGTACACATGTAAATAAAACACTTTAACGGTTTAAAACGCGATATATTAGTTAAACTTATTTGAAAATGATTTTTAACTTCGGCCCGACGTTTCGGATGCTTTGCAGCAGCCGTGGTCATGGGGAGACTAAAGATGGAGGATGTCTCTGACGTCAAAGTAAAAAATTCCTACGCTAGCGCCATCTGTTCCGTCGAAGTTGGTATTTGGCGAAACTGGCCTCATCGTTTTCAAATAAGTTTAACTAATATATCGCGTTTTAAACCGTTAAAGTGTTTTATTTAAACAAATTGTAATTTTTCTAAATCATGTTGGATAGTAATAATATCGAAATCCGTCCGGGTGACAAAAGTCGTCAAGTTTAATCGCGCTTCGATTTCAGTCTGTGGATTTTCGAATATCCCAAGCCGAAACAGGTCAACAGCGCACCTAGCTTAGATATTATGCCTGGGGGATCTCACCTACCATAAAGTGAACTATGCTTATCTGTACTTGCAAAGAGCAATAAAGTCTGTCGAATCGCTTGAAAAAATATAAGTACAGTCACCATGATAAGTGAAGGTTTTGTTAAACAAAAACCGTGTGAGAATATTGTTATCGCGTTTTGTTTTTGAAGCTAGGTATTCTCATTAGCATTTTGATTACTAAATTTGTACTTGAAATTGTTCTTGTCCGAATAAAGTCAAATGTTACGCGTAATTTCCGCAAGTAGCTCAATAACCCTAACGGATTAAAAGGCGAAATATGTTTTTAATACGACTATTCGTACCTACGTGTCCACGACTGCAATAGAGGCTGACAAAAGAGACTGAAGAATTATGATAACAGAGGCCTTTTTTGATTTTTTCAAATCAATCGACCGAGAACTTTGTACCTTATTGGAGTAAAAGAAGGTGCACTCGGTAGCTCAATTAGTTGAAAAAATCACGATGAGGTGTAGACTCGGTAGCTCAGATAGAAGATGCCGGTTCAAGTCCTGCCCGAGTCGAAAATTTTTTCAATTTATTTTCTATTTTTTAAATCGTAAGCTGCCGTTAGACATGAGTAAAGTAATATACATAAATTTTGATCGTGAATATCTCCCAGTTGGTTTAGAGTATTCAAAACGTCGGGTCATAGATAATGAATTAAGAGATATATTTCACCTTTTTAACCGTTAATTGTTTTTATTAGTACTCACTTACAACTACTATATTTAGAGCACTACAAGTATATAAGAGCGCCTGTGTAGCTAAATGGTTAAACGTTTTGTCTGATATTGCGTTAAGCACGATATTCGAAGCCCGGGTAAACATTAGATTGTTTCGTTCACAGAGGCCCAATCGAATACGTGTCTGTAAAGCGATCAGTGAAACGGCCACAGAAATGTGTTCGTCCCATGTCTCACAAACTAAGATGAAAACAATAAAGTAATAAAGTTATTAAACACTGTCGCAATTAATAAAATATGTAATATACTTGTTATTGAAAGTGATACGGCGTTGCGTGTAAATATTTCACCTTTACCGTGAGTTTGCTAAGTATTACAGAGCCAAGTTAATGCCATTAAAACTTTGACTTCAAGGACTAGGGAAATGTGTTAAGTGTTCGCTGCGCAACTGCGAATAATTATTTTGAGTATATTCTATTGCTGTTAGTCGGACTATTCTTTCACTAATATATACACACATCTATACTTATTTTATAAATCTGAAGAGTTTGTTTGTTTGAACGCGCTAATCTCAGGAACTATAGGTTCGAATTGAAAAAATACATTTATAGAGAAAGGCTATACAGGTATTAAGCGGACAAAGTCGCTTGCGCAGCTGGTATATGATATAACTGTCGTTTATGTAGCATGGCCTTTTGTCTATGTTTTTGGGCGTGACTTGTGTTGAGATTCTTGATATTTAAATAAAACACTTTAACTTATTCGAAACGTCGGGCCGAAGTTAAAAATCATTTTCAAATAAGTTTAACTAATATATCGCGTTTTAAACCGTTAAAGTGTTTTATTTAAATGTGTACTACTCGCGTAAACTATAGACAGTATTCTTGACATGTTCTTTGAGCGCCTTTTTGTCAAAAGTGATTTGTGTCTTAGCATAGAAGATTGTAATTATGTTGATAAAAACTACAGGTGTTAATTGTGTAATCTCATTTTGAGCCTTGGAGCCTTTCTTCTTTTAAGTATCCCATCTTACACCGGTCACCCCTAAATATAAAATAAGAAATCAACTGGCATACATAATCCAACAATTATATAAAGAATTTATTAACACCTATAAAAACAACACAATACCCTCAAAAAAGTGTCTTAAATTAACTTAAACTACTGTGATTTTTTATCTTCAGTCTCTTCGTCGTAATTGGTCGGAGTTTCGCCGGGTTTCAACAGCTTTCCGACGATGTGGTATTTTTCTGAAATAGAGAAGAACATATTAGAATTTGTGTAATCTAAGTCTAAACAAGTTTTCGCATTTCATTAGCAAAGCTTCCTGGTTCTCGAGCTGCTCAGTTTGGAGGTTCGTCTAAGGATAGCAATGTATTATGTTTAATCTTTCATTGATTTACGAAATTGTGCGAGGTATGAATATAGAAATTTTGTCCAGATAAGGCAGGTCTGTGGCTGTCGGGAGTTCCTCCACTGAGAGAAACTCTCAACATTCCGTGACGATGGCGTAAGATCGAGAACCATTTTGAACAGCCGATGAACTTTGAACAGCCCGAAAAGTATATTTATTTATATAATAGTATGTATACGTATTCAAATAAATACACTTAATTAGAACTTCTCAGCAGTTTTTGTATTGTAATAGACTTTTCTATTTCGTCAAGGTATTGTTGCAAGGTACAAACTTCCGTTGATGTAAGAATGCCTCAAAATATAATTTTCGGATTTTGGTAAGTTTTAATATAAAACGCTAAAATTAAAACGCTAAAAAAAGTTTTAAAATACTTAAATCGACGTTATCAAAATTCACTTCAAAGTCAGAAGTTATTCCTGATCGAACATACATAAACGTCCTTAAAATTACTTTCACTTAGGGTTAGTATTAAAATAGTATAGCACTATTGACTTTGATATTAGGCTGCAGCAAACATCCAAAACGTTGGATGATCCGAGGTTGGAATAATTTGTAAATAAATTACATAATCTATTTCTCATTTAAACCATAAGAAGTGTTTTTTTTTATTTTACACGGGTAAACTGCAGACAACTCTTAGCTTATAGCACTGTATACACAATGTAGATATATTGTGTCTACAATAAATAAAACTACAAAGTATTGTAAGTTATTTACAAGAGTACCTGCTTTGCGACGAACATTAATCAATTACAGTAATTTATTTTAGCCAATAAGAGCACCGTGTTTGAGTCATACTATTTTTATCGCAAACGTGATCGATTTTATGTTTAATGATAAGAAGTATTGATAATTTCCTGATAACAGTGAAATACAGAGATTCAATATTTACGTAACTTTGCCATAATATATGTAGCTTCGCCCTTTGGTTACTGGGTTTGAATCTAGGCTATAAATAATATCATACACACCACTCACTATTTCACTACTTCTTAATAGATGAAAGAAATGACAAAATACGTTTATCCATGCTCCTTTGAGTTGTATAAAAGGATTGTCAATTAATTTCAATCAAAGTTCGGGTGCTTCAAAATCTTATGGACTCCTTACAAATGATAAATAATCTTGCTAAAATTCAAAAAGTATTTCTATATTTGTCATAATGTTACTAACAATTGCTAACATGTTTAGGTAAAATTAATTAATATAAAAACCACTTTACGAAACAAATATATACTGGTATAAATAGTATAAAGTAACTGAAACATAAAAAAAATTGGAAATTGACTAAATTATCAGTCAACTTTTTGATAAGAAAATTTAAATAATGTAGTCTTGGAAACTATACATATTGTACACGAAAGTCAAGGAATAATTTATATAAATTAATATATCGGTATGTCTAATTGTAACATTTAAACACTTTTAGATTATGAAAACAATACAAATTCTTTTGAAATAAAAAAACGAATAAAATATTTATATATCCCAAAAAATCAGTGTTCTTTGTGAATTTTTACTTTCGGCTGTACTAGATGGCGCTAGCTTCGCGACTTTAATATAATGCAGTCTATGGGTCACCAGGAAAACTAGGACCGCTAATCTCAATACCAATATATATTTGGGAGACGGTGTGGGAGGAAAATATAAACCGGGTGAACAACGAGGACTACTAAAGTGACATTATGGCCGTGTCTCATAGCTGCCTTTTATTGCGTTTATCAAATCCTCCGAAAAGTTTCTTTAACACCTATAAGGGCCATGCGGAAATGATATATTCGTTTTGACATTTGAGAAACTGCCATTGAGAGATTACATACGCTTATTGACAACTTTTTACTTTGAAAAGAAATAATATAGTAGTAGGGATTTCTGGAGATAAGACGTCGGCGGGTACTCTTGCTGCTCTATTGAACTGTGTTTCGAACTCTGCTTTCACAACAAACATCCATTTTGAGTTTTCTATCGAGTCCGTCAACCCTTCATCATATAATATGTTACTTACCCCTGAATTGTTCTTCCCATTCCTTGGCAGACGCAACTTCATCAGGCCCTAAGTCGCTGACGTCATCATATTCTTTGTCTGATGCAGCCACCTGCCCCGTTGCTAAACCTCTGGTTGCATCTTTTCCCGCGAAAGCCGAGTATGGGCCACCTGAAAGATACCAGACCAAGATTTAGTTTTTAAATTAAACATATATATATTTAATTTAATTTGAACTATGACCCGACGTTTTGGATACTTTGCAGCAGGTGTTGTCATGATTATAATTATAATCGTCGCTGTGGATTTAAAACACGTTACACGTTATTAGCCTAAATATTATAATTAAATTAGTGAATAGACTTATAAAATTTATCTGCCTCATGCCATAGAAGATTAAAAATTTTATACTGTCAAAGTCTAAACCAATAACAAACATGATATTGACTCGGTAACTCAATCGGTTAGAGCAACAGCGTGGAACGCTGTAGATACCGGTTCAGATCCTGCCCGAGTCCAGTATTTTTTTTTTTCAATTTATAATTGATTTTTAGCATTTTAATAAAAAAAAACTCTTTAATGGTTTAAAACGCGATATATTAGTCAAACTTATTTGAAAATGATTTTTAACTTCGGCCCGACGTTTCGGATGCTTTGCAGCAGCCGTGGTCACGGGGAGACAGTTAAAAATAATTCTCAAACAAGTTTAACTAATCTATCGCGTTTTAAACCGTTAAAGTGTTTTATTTAAATGTGTACTACTCGCGTAAACTATAGACAGTATTTGATTTTTAATTTATAAGCGTTATACATATAATAAATAGTTTAAGACTAAACTAGATATCTCTTTCTACTAATAACTTTAGTGGGTATCTTAAATGCAAATTCAAGCAAAATATATAATTATATTCATAGTTGTAATATTTTATCATCTTTAACACAGAAATGACTACATTCAAGTAATAAAAATTCGACTTTGAACCTTGTTACCGAGGCCGAGCAAGGGAGACAGCTAGTTTGCAATGAGTTCCTTTTCACATAGTTAATTGACATATTTGTGATTATAGCTTAAGAGATTCTTTGTTTTATACAGTATATTTATAATATAATACTGAAAACTTTAATATTTTACACATGATGATACTGTATAAGGCGAGAGGTGTATGTATCAATACGTTACTATTCGACGATGTGTAGGACTCAGTAGCTCAATTGGTTAGAGCAAGAGCTCGGAACGCTGTCGATGCCGGTTCAAGTCCTGCCCGAGTTGTAATATTTTAAAATTTATCACAGTATTAGTTGCGTAGGCTCGTTGGTGTAATGGTGTGAATTGATTTTACGAAGAAATTATTATACTAAATTTACTATCATTGTATTTACTATCGAGATCGACTCTATAGCAATTTGGTTTAACGTGTGCTTATCTGTGTTTCATTTTAATAAGCGCGAATTACGGGTTCGAATACCCTTTACGCGTTTTATACTGATTAAAACTGTTTTAATTAACATAATTATGCTGCAGTATTGTTTCACTTTTCAAAAACTATGGAATATAAACGTGACCCGGTGGGTTGAATAAATAAACAAAACACCAATACTGTCTGTAGTTTATGCGAGTAGTAAACATTTATATAAAACGGTTTAAAACGCGAACGTCTTGATTGAGCTTAAAAAAAAAATAAGTTTACATAATATATTTCACGTTTTAAACCGTTAAAATTATATTTGTCTTTTATTTAATTATTTTCAACACAAATATAATTATAACTTTTCAATGCCGAGTGTTTTCTCTATTTTGCGGCGTTTCCCTCACTATAATAATTATGAACAATTTTTTTATGAATGACGTCATTATTATATTATAATGAATACGTTTATACTTTGAATAAGCAATGGCCGTTTAGCCTTGTGTCATTTGCATTTATTTAAACGAGTTCCTTGGATAATGAGTATTGAATTTATGAGTCCCTGTAGAGCATTTTTATAATAAACATTACATAGAAAGCAAAATAAACTAGGTTTATGTGCCTTATATTGTTCTACAGCGCGTTTTAAATACGAAAAAAAATCCAAGAATAATACACATTGAAATAAAACACTTTTAACGGTTTAAAATATGCTTTGCAGCAGCCAAAACACATTCGAAACGTTATGCCGCATTTAAAAATAAGTTAAGGAATGTATTCTAACTAATTTTTTGCTGAATAGAGCGAATCAAACGTTTCTTATAATACATTTTAGCAAAGTAACGATATTATAATAATTTTATAATATCAACATCGTAGTACTATTACCGGAATTTTGAACAAAAACAGGCTTCCGTATTTTTTAATTGAATATTAATTTTTCTCTGTGACAGACGAAAAAGGGTTTCATTCGATGGAAAGTGACATACCACAGCCACGTAACAAGATGTGTTGTCGACTTATTTTGGCTTTGAGTATTACTAAATATACGGAAAAACTTCAAGGCTTTTTCATCTATGGATTAATGGACAACATAATAACGAAAAAATTGATGTACAATATGACAGATACATAAAATGACATTTACATGCATATCATGTTAATTTGTATGCTTTATCTGTCTACAATAGGTAATGGTGTAAACACGCTTTATTCGATTAATATTTTAATGACATCCAAGTAATTATTTACTCATTAACTTCAGATAACGTTACAGGTAGTTCAAAATTCTAATTTGTGGTTGTGTAAATACCGATTACATGTTAATTGAAAATTTACCGCGCTATAGAAACTATTTAGAATAACAAAAACCCATGGTGTGTTTTTTTGGACATATCAGAAAACAATACGAGCTTCCACAAGACAGTCCACAGACTGAAATCTACATATGGATTAGCATTCAAGGCTTACATTTGTGAACTGTGTTGCGGAGTCCAGATTACATTTTAATATCCCATAGGTCCAACATATAAAAGGATCGGAAATTAATTTACTAACATGTTACACCCGGTGGGAATGTATATATTATATACTATAGGTATAGTATTTAAAATTTAATTTTTTGAGAAAGTGTCTACTTGCGAGATTGACTTGGTATCAATTAAGGATTATTACCTATGGATCTATAATGATAACAGTTAAATACTGTCTATAGTTTACGCGAGTAGTGCACATTTAAATAAAACACTTTAACGGTTTAAAACGCGATATATTAGTTAAACTTATTTGGAAATGATTTTTAACTTCGGCCCGACGTTTCGGATGCTTTGGAGCAGCCGTGACCACGGCACCGTTAAAGTGTTTTATATAAATGATAACAGTTACTTTGGCCGACTTCTCGCCGCAAAAGTATTTATTATAGGTACTTAATCATGATATAATAGTTATTTCAGTATTAGAATTATGCCGAAAATAATATCTGCAACTCCTGATAGGTTAGCGAACTTACAACGCAAGTGTAGGTTTAGCAAAACTTTGTCTAGACACCGTACAATATTGCGTAATTAGATGTTCATTCCATTTAACAAAATTCAGTCATTTAAACTAAAAAAGAAGTTTTATTGATGCCATATGTACTTTGCGAGTACTATCATTTAAATAAATCGCATTATTTAAAGCAGCGGCTTTGTTCGTCCGTGACCATGGTACGCAAAGCACTCCTTGGGTCGTGGTTAAACGCAATTTTACGCTTGACATTTCCCCATTAAAAACCCGCTAAGTGCTTTATTACTTCACTCTAGTTTTAAGTGCTGCATTTTTAAAGTGAATGCGTTTCTCTTGGGGTGGGGCGAAGTTTATTTACAACAGTAGTTGATCAGCCTTTAGTGCCGTCCCTGGCCGAAACAATCTTCCTTCTCCAGAATTAAACCAAGACCCTGCTTGCTGAGCAATACTTGCAACATATTTAACTACAGAGATGGTCGATTTGCATGCTCACCATATAGTTATTAATGAACTATTAATATGTTAACGATTTAAATAGTCTGACTAATAAATTACATATCTCAAAAGTTTAACGTGACTTGCAATTTCCTTGAATGCGCGTGAGTTGACGATTCTCCGTTCAATTTTTTTTACACTTTGATAGCAGCATTCTTATCGTTGCTTCATGAAGTTGTTTGTTTTGTAATTACCTATGCTCATTTTAAAGATAGAGAAACTTTGACCTTTCACGTTGAGGACAATGTAAGGACCCTCTGTCAATTTAAAATAGACATGTTTATAACAAACATAAACTTACTAGTACAGCTAACAATGCGTTAGTTAATCGTTGATTACAAAGTTTTATAGCTGTCATTTCTTTACATATTATGTTGAAGGTACGGTAAGCGATTGGGTTAGTATATTTGGGGAGCAATCCTCTAAAAGTGATATAAGTTTCTCATTGACTTAATTACGACCAATGTCGTGGTAGCATATATCGCAGTGTTAAGAATCGCCCTCCCAGGCATGTCCAATTATTCACGGTCTGATAATAAGTTACATTATGTTGCGTAAGCAATTCTTTAAGGTAAAAGACCGGGAAAATATAAAGTGTCGCACTTACCCGGCCCATAAAACCGTTTCCCAGCAGTCACGTCAAAAATAACGCTATTAACGGCTAATAACACTCGTCCTTCCTCATTGGTACCGTCGTATTTTTTCAACTCGGCAACCGTCATGTCTTTACGCAACTTCGGCATAGGCGGCGGAACTCGCGCCGGCTCGATCGTCTCGAATTGCGACCTTATTATCTTGTACAGAAGGTACACAATGAAAAATATGAGCACTAGATTAAGGGGGCTCGTTAATTCGTCCCAAAAACTAGTTTCCGTTTCGGCCATTGTGGACGTGTGCGTTTTGCAAGCGGTTCGAGTGGACTGAGTTATCAAGCCGCTGTTAGAAGGTCAACACGTATCGCGTTTGTGTTATTGAGTAGCAACGTAGCGTAGGAGCTGAACGCGAGTTTTTTGTTTTTAAATAAATTACGAATTTAATTCATCAGCTCAGCCAGACAGTAGTTTTAACTATAGAGCCAAATGCAGACTAAGGTTATCAATATTATCTTTACTAAGATATTAAGTATAAAGTAATTATACTGAATGTCCTGTTGTATGACCATAGCACGAGAGGTGTTTGTATCAATAGCTTGAAGAAACTCGATGATGACGAGCAGGACACGGTAGCTCAATTGATTACAGCAACAGCACGGAACGCTGGGCAGGTTCCAGTACTACTCGCGTCGTAAAAATGAATCGCTTTAAAATCATACCTACTAGGTGTAAGACAAGACACGTATGAATGTACTTATTTATTTATTAACAAGTTGAATTTTGCACTAGTTGGATTTCGGTAACTTTAAATGTTTGGTAGCACAATTGTTTAAAAAAGCAAATGAAGATAATGACAATATATTATTTTTAAACGAGTTTGTTTTATTAGAACAAAATAAAATAACGAAATGAAACATCCAATTCACATTATAGTTTGGTAAAACATTAAAATGCATGTATAGTTTGCTTCAAAACGATCACACACTAACCAACATAATTAGTATATGCGAAATTAAAAACCAAGAGCGACTTTTCGTAATGTTCAGCAGGTCAGTGACTAGAAAGTGTTGGTCGTCACATGTTTGGACGAGAAACACAAAATATTATGACAAATCGGCATTTCACTTATTTTTGCACTTTGAAAAGACCTGTTACTTAAGACTTATTAGGATTAAGTAATATATTTGACATAAGGATTTATTTATTGACAAATAATCATCTGTCATAACATAAGGAATCCAATGCGATAGTGGTAATTATACTTTATACATTAACCAACTAAATTAACCATTAATAAATTATGATAATCGTATTATGCACTTATTTTGTTTCTTTTTAATTCTGTATCTACCTTCAGGATAAGCAGAAAAAGTGAATGACCTTATCAATATATTAATATATTATTTGTAATGTTTTTTTATTGTAAATAAATAAAAATAATCAATACATATACACGTTAAGGTAGCAATTTTCAATCGCAGCTGATAATAAATCTGCACTGATTATAGTTATCTGAACAATTAAGTCAATGAATATTGTGTTCATATTAGTCTAGTAATATAGTCTTAGTAATATTGTAAAGCGGTTTTAAAGAAACGTTTCAGGTTACTAACAATTCCTCATCAATTTGAATAGTTGTGTATTTATAAATATTATATTATGCGTTATAATGAAATAATATGTAGGTAATGCAACTGTTCTAAGGGTTTCCCTTCACATGCCCTGTACGTTCCCTTCGAACCAGTTGTATTACTTTATATCACTTTGACATGTAAAACTATGGATAGTACAACACCAAGAAACGAGGTATTGTTGGTATTATTTTATTATTACTCTTATTCTGCTTTACTAAAACCAGCGCTGCTGCATGTGACGACCAACCTGAACATCCGATAGTACTTATATATTGTATTAGGCATTCAGCGATATCGATTATCGTAATCACTTTCTAAATATGACTGTAAAAAGTTTTGAATTTAATTGAATGAATGCATTCATTCCGCCTATTGCTGCGTTTAACAAAAGTCCTGGGTTCGAATGCCAGAGAAACATTACATAGTTTCAATCGGGCAAGGTAGGTACAGCAGACTGAATGACATTACCTATAAAATATCGATCACTGAAGCTGACACAGAATTTTGGATTTCACTTTTATGCATTTATTTCAATAAATACATTATATTATGTTTGTCTTTGTCATACTCGTGCAAAACATGCATCTTTTTGTACCCAAATAATGTAAATTCATATTGAATTTAACTGAATATAAGATGAAGAAACACAAAAAGATGTCTTGTCACGTTAAAAATGGATGTTTGCATTTTAATAGAGAATGTTTTATTGAATAGGGTTATGTATTGACGTCATGAAATTTATGATAACTTAAAAAGGTCGGATAACGGTCAGAAGGTTACGGATCACTTATCATATTTTTTTTGTTTGATGTTTTAGTCATTTGTCAATCTAGAGAGAAAAACGCTGGCTTGTTTTGAAATCACACGTTTAAGTAACACAAGGGGGGGGGGGGGGGGGGGGGGGGGGGGGGGGGGGGGGGGGGGGGGGGGGGGGGGGGGGGGGGGGGGGGGGGGGGGGGCCCCCCAAAAAACCCCCCAGGGGAAAAGCCCGGGGGGGGGGGGGGGCACCCCCCCCCGGGTCCCCCCCTGGCCCCCGAAAGGGGGGGGGGGGGGAAAAAAAAAAAAAAGACAACTGGGCCACCCCACTTTCGGGAAAAAATTTTCACGTTTTGAACAGTAAAAAGGTTTTATTAAACGGACCAAACTTATAGGTCGTTGGAGTATAGCTGAGAAAATATATCATAATGTCATTAAAATTCAAGCGATTCACAATTATTAACCCTTCATATTCGAGTTCAATTTGTCGGATGCAATGAATACTTACGAGGCTATATAGGAACGCCATATTTCCTTAATTAATTGAGTGAATATACAACTCTTCAGAGCCGCCGCCTATAAAACAGCCACGTGATTCGCTTAAGTACTGGATGTGACTTCTTATTTATATCACATTTTTTTATGATAGAGAAGGATAGATAAGCACGGGTTTCACTTGATTACTCTTACATACATATTTAATCATGAATATCCAAAGCCAGAGTAGGCCGACCGCGAATTTAAATATGTGAGGTATTTGAACTACTATCAAGTTAAAAAATAATTAATTAATTAATTTTCTTTTCCATTTAATTCGAAACTGTAGTTATTGAGATTAACGCATTCAAGAAATAAACGAACAAACGATTCCGTTCCATAAAAAGAACAAATGAAAATATTTAAGTTCAACATGAAACGAACGCATTGCTAAAGAATTTTCACAGGAGAAAATAATAAAAAACGAATAGTTATGAAAAGAGCATTTATTTTAGAAATATATGTATGAATGTACGTTTACGCAAGTAGTGCACGTTTAAATAGACCTTTTAAAGGTTTACATCGCAAAATATTATATTCTAATTAAAAATTATTTGAAAATGCAGTAAACTACGACCCAACGTTTTGTAAGATATTTCGCGTATTAAACCGTTAAATTGTTTCATTTAAATTTGTACTGCTCGCGTAAACTACACACAGTATGCATATTAATATATGTCCAATCCTGTACATTTTATATCGGTGTAAGCGATGCGGCCATTCGTTGTATCGATTCGCGCAGTAAATACGCGCCGCAACGATTTATTTTTAAATAATAAATTATTTTTAGTTGTTTTCTAGGTTGTGCTCGAACAAGTACGGAAAATGGATATTGAAAACTTCACTACCTATCGCTCTATTATATAACATATAGTTAATTGCTTAAACAAATATATATAATGCCTAAATAAATTCACAAATATAGTTTAGCTACAAATCGTCTGTTATTAATTATAGTAAAACTTGTTATGTTATAAATAATATATATAATAATAACTTTGTATTGTATATTCGTGCAGTATTAACGACACCCTCAATAAGGTCTCCTAACTGGACAGATAGTAAGTATTGTATGTAGTTTTCACTATGACTTAATGTTTCATATTATATTGTTTTTATTCTACCACACCCTCTTTATATAATGTGAATAGAAGAATGTGACACACTATCTTTATGGCTTCATCATAGTAAAGATTATGAAATTATTAAAGATTCAAAAGCCAGCCTAAATATATTAAATAAGTTGCGACTTAAAATAATTGAAAGCAATCGGAAAACAGTACAAATTCATCAGCAGCGCAGACAATAGCAGCAGCAGCCAGACTGAGCTGACGAGCCGTCATAACGCGCTATCTCGAATGCAAACAGCTTCCAAACTCGCACGATTACTTCGCAGACGTATTGCGGTGCGCGGTTCCATTGTACTTATGTAGCGTTTATTTAAATTATCGAATGTCTTTTATGACAGAGGAATATTGATAAGCGTGGTATTCTGAAACACCACAGCCATATAATGACTCTGAATTAGGAGATCATTAGACTGCGTTTGTATCTATGGACGGTGGTTCGTGTGGGGTTCGCACGGAATTTAAAAAAAATCCTACTACTTAGATACTGTCTATAGTTTACGCGAGTAGTACACATTTAAATAAAACACTTTAGGTTTAAAGCTATATAGTTAAACTATTTGTAAATGCTTCCAAATGGTCTCCCCGTGACCACGGCTGCTGCAAAGCATCCGAAACGTCGGGCCGAAGTTAAAAATCATTTTCAAATTAGATTTAACTAATATATCGCGTTTTAAACCGTTAAAGTGTTTTATTTAAATCCTACTACTTAGTTTATCTAGATTTATAAACGAAGTATAAACATGTTTCAGTAAAATGAATGTTACGATTTTCTATAATTTAACTACTTTGTTGCACGATCAAGCATAGAACGTTTGACCTCACGAAAATAAGTCGGTCCTCATTTTTTATTTATTTATGCCGTAACAAAGGATTCTTTTAAACTTTGCGTGAAGTTTTAAATGCGTTAAGGTTAGAATTTGACGATTACTTCTCGGGTTGACAAAAAAACAACTGAAATAAATACGTTGTTGGTATTGTTCTGTTGATTACTTAATTATAAGAATATTAATTACTTTTTGATTTTTCGAGATACCTTAATCAAATAAATAGTTAGTAGTCTATGCCTTTGCCTTTTGCTGTATAATCCTTAAATTGTTTCTCTTTCAACGTTTAAGATCCGTTAGATTCCCGTGCGTTAATGGAAACGCGCAGACCTCAAGCCACCGCCAAAGTGCATCGAAACCTTAGGTATTGCAAACTTAGTTCAACTTCATAAGTAGGGATTTTCGGACTA